CTCTCTCTCTCTCTCTCTCTCTCTCTCTCCCTATACTCTATTGTGTCATCACTTTTCAGACATTGAATGCAGTGAATGGATGCGAACAATGACTGCACTCATAAAATAGATACAAAAAACTACAATGACTTTCAATGCACTCATGCTTCCTATTAAATGGACTTTATTTCTTATCCGACACTAATGTTAAGGCTATTGACGGCAATAAAATTCAATATTTATTAAACGTTAGACTTAAATTAATAACATAATTTAATAGACATGTTAAGTACACTGTAGTTTATTATTTTACACAATTAAATATTATAATTACATTTTGTTTAATATATTTTTAATCAAAATGCAAACCTTATAATTAGTGGGAAATCTATTAAAAATATTTTATAAGTGTTTGAGTATTAAGTTATATCAAGAAAAACTATTTTCAATATTATAGTGAATTTAATAAAGAAGTGTGAAATCTATTGCATAAGTGGTCTATTGAGAAGAAATATTGAGTGATTTATCATAATTGAGTGCAAATATATATTTTATATATAAAGACTTTAAAATTCTTTTTTAAAATATAATATCTTAATAATTCGTACATTTATTGCTTGTACTGTATGTTTCAATTAAGACCCAACGCGGACTTATTGGTCACAATAATGGGTAGATTGATATGTAAATCAATAGCATGGGGTATATCAAGTGTGATGTGAACAAAGTATTTGATCGAAATAATGGGACTTTTGATGGAAAGGGACGCCTCTTGAGGTATGGGAACCGAAATTATTTCCGCGCCATCCGTTTCACTCTTGACTTTGTGGCCAACAATGGGTTCAGTGAGCGCCACCTCCAGTGACTTATGCCTCTCACCGCACATATAGATCTGTGTCTGATATAGTGTGACCCTCGGGACCACATCCACCGACGACTGGTTCTCGACACTGCACTGCACTTCTATCACTTCACCTGCAAAATGGTGTCAACAAATGGTCAGACAATTCACTGATTATGGTAAACGTTGGGAATGATGTGAGAAATACAGACCCGCCGTAAAACCCTTCTTAACAACGTTGGCAGAGAGTGAGAGCTGTTGTGGCAATAAATAAATATGAGTATTAAAAAGTTTATATCATTTAATGATATAATGTTTAAAATGAATGAAAATGTATTTACAGTTCCCGAACCGAAGATGGAGAGATCCTTCTCGGCTGTTCCGCCAACAGATATCTTAATTACAAAACAAATAAAATATTCAATTGAAATGTGAATGTAATATATATTGATATGATTGACTGACATTGAGATTGTTACGCATTGGCGACTCAACAATAATAGGTTCGCCAATTCTGTGCACTTCATTGATGGCCGGCTCGTCGATCACTGCCTCCACATAATAGCTAACTGAGCCGTGAATGCTCTCAAACGATGAGGGAATACCTCTGTGTCCGTCAGTCCATAGGTTTAAATACAAAATAGCAGACAATAATTATTACATGATTAATATTATATGAATTCAATGTCTGGTAAAATGAGAGATCAATTTATTGATTTATATATCATTTCTATTACTCACTCTTCAGGTAATCTGAATTTAAATGGCATCACGTGATCGCCCGCTCCCAGACAGTTGTCGGCATCTGTTTAAAAAATACATTTAAATAATGTATTTAATTATAAGTTATAATTTAAAACTTATTGTATAATATATTACGTAATGTTTTTAGACATACATTGTTTAGGCATTTGATACGTATAGTCAAAAAAATTTGTCTTATTGTGATAGACCTTTCCTTCTCTTTGATAACGAACGCCCGGATTCTCAACCCATTTCGCTTCGCCCATACATGTGAAACTGATTTTCACATTTGACAACAGGAGCCGACCCTTCATTGAAATGGTGAGCAAACCCGACACCTCATCCCCGGCCATATACTCCTTCTTATGGTCGTCCAAAATCAAATTCAGGTTTGTTAAGTGTATTTTTTCCATCACTTTGTATTAATTTATGCCATTTCTGTCAATTGGTATCCGGAGTTAATTAAAACAGTCGATTCATTAAGAGTTACATTAATTGATTTATATTCACTCGAGTTTTTGACGTTTCGTTTCCTTCCCAATACACAACTGACCATCGATTTCATGGCATTACATAATAATTGCATTTTATTTCACAACAACTGGAGATAAAGAGTAGATTCTGTGAGCATTTCTATGGCTACCGACTCATGAGTATCGATCCAAAGACGCGTATAAACACATATTTCGCATCAAATGTTGTAATATTTTGTAATATATAAACAAAGTATAAAAAGAGATAATGTTTTAATGATTTATTTTTATTTTTTAAAATTTCATTTAAAGAATTAATTTATATTTTAAATGTATAGAAGATAACAGTAATATTAAATTCGTGTCATAAAAATATTATATTAATTAATAATATAAATAAATTAAATATAATATTTTATTATTAAATTATTTTTCATCATTCACAATAAATATTAATATGTAATAATTAATTTAATTGTAACATAGAGGTATTTAGTTAGAAATAAATATTTACTACCGGTACTTATAAATTATTGTATAAGTTATAATTATAATCTTTTTTGTATTAAGTAAAGTAAATCTTTATATTAAACCTAATGTTAAAGTAGATTTAATTACTACTTGCATGTAATAATAGAGTTAAAATATAATTAAATATTATGTATTATTAATACATGTTACCTTAGTAATACTTTTAATAACACTTTACTAAAAATATAAATTTAAAATCTTTTATGTATTTAAAGTTATGTAAATAACTTTATGTTTTATATCTCACTTCATCTCACTTTTATTAATTTGAATTTAAATGCAAATAAATGTTGGAATAAATAGGCAATAAAATTGAATATTAATTATGATATAATTGATAAAATAGCTGCTCATATATTAATTGCTACATTAACTAATGTAATTTATCAATCAACAAATTACTCTACAGTACCTATTAAAAATTTAACTGCAAGTATATTTACTAACACTTTAAATATGACAATTTAATAGTATTTAAGTATTTTTCAAACAAATTGTTTGAGTTAATTCATAGCGAAACTGTTTGTGATAATAATGGGTAAATTCAAATGTAAGTCAATGGTGTGCGGGATGTCGAGCGTCACGTGAAGGAAGTACTTAACCGTAATATTTGGACACTTGAGCGATAGGGGTATGTCGTCGGGAATGGGAACGTTGATCACCGATTCGGTGACCACTCCGGCCTCAATAGTGTCCCCAACGATGGCTTCGGTAACTGTAGTCTCAATGGTTTTGTGCTTCTCTCCGGTCATAAATATCTGTGTTTGATATAGTGTTGCTCTGGGGGTCGCGCTATGGGTCGAGTCATTCTCTATATTGCACACCACTTCTGCTAATTCACCTAAATTTAAACCATTATTTAAAAAATAATTACGATCTGGCTTAATGCGGACAATGCACTTACCGGGAATGTAGCCCTTTTTGAAAACGGACACATTCATGCGAATAGTGCCGGAGCCCAGGTTTATGATTCCCAACTCCTTCTCAGTACTTCCACCGACTGATAACTATAAGATTTTAAACTGAAAGTTGTATTTATGTTAGTATTATTGATTACAATTAACGCACGTATAGGTTATCCTTGAAGGGAGACTCGACAACAAACGTGGTTTTGGTTCCCATATTTTCATCGATCTCCGGTTCGCCCACAAAGGCCTCAATGAAGTATTGGATTGACCCGAGACTGCTCTCGAAGGACGACGGAATGCCACTAAATATCATTAAGTGTTTTATAAATGTTAGATAAATGGCAAACAATTGTGATTAATACAGACCTTTCCGGGAGTCGAAACATAAATGGTATTTCATTCATGCCATTCGTAAAGTATTTATCGCGAACTAATATTTAATAAATTTTAATAAAAATTATAAGTTATGAAAAATTATAAAAAGTATTAATTTTGTAAAATACATTCGTCGGGCAATTGATAGTCGTATTCAACATATTTGCGTTTGATGTGAAACTGGTGGCCATCGCTCTTAAGGCCCGGCATTTCCATCCATTTCACTTGAGCCAAACAATACATCTTAATTTGTATGATTGACACCAATATCTCGCCTCTCAAAGTCAACACCAATTTCCCGGTTATGTAGTCTCCCGTCTGATACACTCTCTTGTTATCCTCCAGAATAACAGTCATATCGTTTATATGAAATCTATCCATTATTTATGACTTTTTAATTTTTATATAAGTATTTATTGTATATTTTCACTAATTAGCGGAATATTCTTATGCGTAAGGAATGCGTGAAAATTGTACATAAATTGAGGCAAAATGTCTGTTGTTTTGTGGCTTCAAAAAGTCAGTCTTGGATTTTATCCTTACTATCGATTTTTGCGGATAAAAGAGATATTGGTGTCAATCATACAAATTAAGATGTATTGTTTGGCTCAAGTGAAATGGATGGAAATGCCGGGCCTTAAG